TTTAATTTCCCCGACTATTAGTTGATGCCTACACTAGAGGAGTATTCTTATCTATTGGATTTACCTGTTACCGATCGTGTTCCTTTTACTGGTTTAGAGGGTGAGCCAAAACCACATGAGATTGCTGCTTTGATCCATTTGTGGAAGTCTGAGGTTGAAGCCCATATGACTACTAAAGGAGGGATTAGAGGATTACCAACTCAGTTCATATTGGAGAAAGCTCGTTAATTTGCCAGGATGAAGAGTACAATCGCTTTTGAGGCCCTCTTTGCTTTACTTGCTTATGGGTTGTTCTTATTTCCTAATGTGGACAGGTTTGTTGACATTAATGTTATCAGGATCTTCATGATTGGAAACCCAGTTCCTACATTGTTGGGTGATGCTTATTACTCTAGTCATCTTCGGAATTCTTATCATGGGGGATGATTATCTGTTGCACGCCTCTGTTGTACCGATGGTTTATTTCTCACATGCCTCAGTCTGATGCTTCTTGGGATGTCAGGAAGGAACCCCGTTGGGCTCCTAAGATCATGGCACGTACTCACTCGGATATTGATTGGTATCGTTGAGCTTACCAGGATGTAGAGATTGTTGACAGTTATGGTAGTTTCCCCAATGTACCTCTTCTTGGTACAAAGGGAGGAATTAACTATAACCTTGTTCTTGCACGAAGACAACTTGGTTATCCGATGAGGGATAAACCAAATAGTATTCATTTGAGTAGTTTCTTCCTGAAGGAGGGAGAAGACCATAAGGAAGCTAGGGAGCAGATTGCAAAGGCTTGGCGTCACATTCATAGGAAGAGTAAGAAATACTTGGGACCTAGGGGGTTGTTTCTTTGGAGCCATATCTTTAGTGGGTCCAAGCGAGAGTTATTCAATTGAAGATGTCGTATTCCCGGGAAACACCTATGCCTGATTTGTTTGTGAAGACCACTCCTCCCTTATTGGATGATGTAGAAGAGCTACAACTTACTTTGGTCAGGATGCAGCAGGAAAAGGATGCTTGGAAGAATAAGTGCCAAACTTTAGAGATTTCGTATAGAGCAGACTTGAAGGAGAAAGATGACTTGATTGAGATTCTTGAGAGTCGGGCTGTAGAGACCATGAGAGGCAAGGGGATTTATTTTCTCCTAAGCCTCAGTCAGATGCTAGTTGCTCACTTCATGATGTAAGTGATTGGAAGGAGGTTGCCACCAGATATGCGGAAGAAAATAAGAGGTTGAAGGTTCAGATTGCCAGGCTTACAGGGAAGCGCCAATGTATAGAGTGATCTCCGTCAGCTTTACTTCTTAGGGTTTTAGACTTTATTTTCATCTTGTACTTGGGATTATTGAAACTTGTAATCCATTTTGAAGTTATTATAATAAATTTTTTCAGCATTTCAAATGTGTTATTACTTTGATATTTGCAATGTGTCTATAAATCTTTAAGTTCCTTGAAATATTAATAATAAAATAAATCATGCGCATTGCATAACATGCATCATAATGCACATATTTCTTGCATTTGTTATGCATATCAAGGTGTCTTACCAAGCTTCTTTACTTCGTTCAGCAAGTTATCTCACCACTACAACACTCGAGCTAATTTCATAAGGAAGATGGACAACTTAAAACAAGAGAATCGCGAGCTGCGCGAGGAAGTTTTTGCTCTGAAGGCCGGCATGGCCAATCTTACTGCTCTGATGGAATCTCTGGTGGCTGCTTAGAATCAGCTATCGAGTGTTCAACCTCAACAAATAAGGGTTACTACTGAAGCTCCGATTGTTCCAGTGTCTGCTACTCCAGCTGTTGTTCAAAATCGCATGCCTCAAGGTTGTCCATAGGGAATACTAGAGAACTTTGCGCCTGAAGTTTTCAATCTTGGTCCTCAAGATGCTCAAGTTGTTTAGACTACTGTTACTCCTGCACCTCCTGTGGTGCATGCTGTTCCTCATGTGCCTCCTTCGATAAATGTGGTCCCATTTGCTAATGATGATATGTATCGTCCTTTTCCTCCACCAAGTGAAGACTTGGGTCTCTATGATAGAATGGATGATTTTCAAGAGCAGTTTGACAAGATGAAGAGGGAGATAAAGGCCCTCAAGGGAAAGTAATTGTTCGGGCAGAATGTGAATGATTTATGCTTGGTCCCGAATGTCAAGATACCTACGAAGTTTAAAGTCTCGGAGTTCGAGAAGTACAAGGGAAATGCTTCTCCTCGTGCTCATATTGTGATGTATCTAAGGAGAATGTCTACCCACTGTTGCACCCCAAAATTTGCCCTCCTAATTGCACTTTTATTTTGGCTTATACTTTTGCATTCATCTGCATCTATTTCATTAGGTCACTAACATGGCATACATTTCATTCAATATAGCTCTAAGGTTCAAAGTTCAGTGGTTGTGCGATACTAGGGTTTCCCAGTGGTTAAGACGCTCGTATCCAATCAGGGATGATTTCTTATTCAGGCAGCAAGCTGTGGAATTAGGGTTTTGGTTCATTCTCTTTTTTGGATTTCTTCTCCATCAAGCTACAAGGTTATTATCTTCTGTTGAACAATAAGTTGCAGGGTATTCCTGTCAATAACATAAGGTTGTGATCTCGCGTACATGATTCAAAACACCTCATTCTATCATTGTGCTTGTCATTTGGTCAAGGTTTTGTCAATACTAGAGGTGTATTAAGATCTTCTCTAAAGGATCAAGATCTGTTATCAATCCAGGATGCATATGATGCTTGCATTACAGGTTGTTGACTATGTCATTGTTGCATTAAGTTCATCTATCCTTAAGTTAATCAATTAGGATTGGGTACGTCATGATTTAAGATATTTTGTATGGTAAATTTGGTTGCTTGACGGTCAAGGTATTGCGAATAATTGGTACAAGCTATTGTTTGGATATTTGTGCAAGAACTTTGGTTTCAAACATGGATTAAGGTTCAACTTGATAAAAAAGAAATAGCGTGCCCAAAGGTTTATTTCATAAATTCTTGTGGAGGAAGATGGCACATGAATATAAGTTGAGATTAAAGTACATGGTATCAAGTAAATCTCTTCATGATTCAAGTTGTTATTTTCAAGATTTTCCCACATCATTGTTCATCCCAAGGTAAAAGATAAAAAGATTCATTTAAATAACATTCGAGTGTTTATCATGTTTGTCTCAAGTTTACTCAAGTATCCATTCAAGCTCAAACTGAATGAGAGAAATGTTTTGAATAATTGGAAATTTGTCAAACAAGAAGTTATAAAGTTTTGTTCATTACAAATTCAATTCATTACACCGAAGTTACAAAAGACATCTCAGTCATCAAAGTTTCAAATTCCAAGTACAAATCATCATCATTTTTTACAAATATCCGTCATCATTCAAGGTTAAAAGTCAAGGGTCTCCATTCATGCGAGTTTGAGGTGCGAGGTGTTTAGAATTGGAAGTTCAAACATCGAAATTTGAGTTTTGAGATCCAAAGCATGGTGTGCAAAGTTTGTTTGAACCAACGCTCTTATAGGAATATGGCATACAAGGGAAATTTTGATTCAAGTTCTTGTGAAACACATAAGACACTCATCATGGAGTACCATGGATTAAATTTGAGGTCGGATGGGTAGAATTCCTTAATTTGACTATAAAATGATCAAGGCCTCCATTTACCAAAAGCTAAGAAACTTAAAGAATGTTTAGAAATGGCATAATTCAAGAGGATCCATCTTGTAAAAAAAGCTCATAAATAATAGACATGGAATTTTGAATTGTAGTAAGTTTCAGCATATTCAAGTTCTACCAGTTACATCTCATTCAAGCCTCTGCTTTGACTACATAATTCTAAAAATATACAAAAGGCTACAAATTTACAAAAGAAATCAAATTTCTATTACAAGTCGGAACTATTCCCATCCATGGTCATTCAAATTATTCAAATTATTCAAGTTCAATCATTCGAGCGTCTTTCATTCACTCATGTTACAGTACATGTTATTTCAAGATTACAAAACAAAGCTATAAAGGCCCTATTGAAACTTAGGGGCATTAATTATAAATGGCATGAGTTTTTCAATAACACCAACAGAGTTGCAGTTGTTATGTTATGGTTACCTGTTGTGCTGATATACTTCATGGATTTGCAAATATGGTATTCGATTATCTCTGCCGTTGTTGGTGGTACAATTGGTTTGTTTTCACATTTGGGTGAAATTCAGAATATCTCACAACTAAGGCTTCGGTTCCAGTTCTTTTCCAGTGCAATGCAGTTCAATCTGATGCCAGAGGAGAAGCTACTAAGTCAGCAGGCAACGTTGCTAAGGAAGCTTCGTGATGCCATCCATCGGTTGAAATTACGATACGGACTTGGTAAACCCTTCACAAAAATTGAATCAAGCCAAGTGGATGCCACCAGGTTTGCTTTAATATGGAATGAGATTATCATAACTTTCAGGGAGGAAGATATCCTTAGTGACCGAGAACTAGAACTCTTGGAACTGCAACCAAATTGCTGGAAAATTAGGATAATTCGATGGCCGTGTTTCCTTCTATGCAATGAGCTACTACTTGCTCTCACTCAGGCAAAAGAGCTGGAAAATGAGTCTGACACGTCACTTTGGTTGAGGATATGCAAGAGTGAGTATCGCCGGTGTGCTGTCATTAAAGCTTATGATAGCATTAAATACTTATTTCTTATGACTCTTAAAGTTGATAAGGTAGAGTTTTCCATTGTGACTAATATATTCAGGGAAATAGACTACTACATTCAGGAGGGTAGGTTAACAGAAAAGTTCAAGCTATCGCATCGCGAGCTTGTTGGTGTGACTGATATAGATAGGTGGACTCTTTATCTAGCTAGAAGGCCTGTTAAAGAGTTTGTGCTGGAAATCTGGAAAGGGCAACGTTATAAGATACCTTCGTGTTTATTTTCTTGTCAAGGTTTACATCATCTAGAATTATCTAACCGTTGGATTAAACCGCCATCATCTTCTGCTGAGAAAACATAGGATAATTCAAATGCTGCTTCAACACAAATCCTACTGGCCACTTGGAACTCGACCTGTAAAATCGCATTAAAACAATCCACAATCAGAACCAAAACTAATAAGCCAATGACATAAACTTCAGCTTGCCAACTAACTATTCTTAACAGATTTTCTAACTTCTAACTTTCTCTCTAACAATTAAACTACTAACTACTAACAGAAGTTCAATGCAACTAACTTATAACCATAACAAACTTCTAACCAAAATTTTCTAACAGAATTCTAGCTTAATAGAATTTTCTAACTAACTCTAACAGTTTCTAAGCTCCTAACCATATAACTAACTTTCTCATAACAAAATTTTTGACAACTAATTTTAACCAATTCCATAACAGAATTTCATAACCAAAACTCCTAACAGCTCTACAGTATAAGATAGAGTAAATTCACCTTGGTTGAGGAGGAGGATTTTCGTCCAGAAAATCCACAGAAGAAGGTGTCTCATCTTCATCCACAAAAAACTCCATAAAAATTATCAATCCCTTTCTCTCTGAAAATCACTTCAGTCATCATGTTCATTTTCCTTCAATCCTCATCATCACTTAAATCTTCATGATTCTTCAATCGCAATGATCTTCACCACAGCTTCACCTCCTTAATCTTCATTACAGAACCACAAACACCATCAGCTTCGTTATCCCTGCTTCAAACAACAACAACACGTTGTAGCAGCGTTTCTGCATCAAATCAGAAATCAATTCATGAATCTTGCAATAGCATTAAGCAACAACAGCTACACTAATGAAATATCACCTATATCGTCACCATCTTTGTGTTTACTTCAATACATATCGAAAAAAGGGAAATAAAAGAAGGGCGATAGAAGACGAATCAAAAGCGATTCGAGATATACATACATGAGCAATTGTGAAGATGCTCTCCGACTTCTCATCATCTCCGTCGCGCTTGAAACACCATCGGAGCGACTCCAAAAAATAATTGGAATCTGAGATCGGAGCGAGTTCGCATAGAAGAAGCCGCGCCGTTGAAGTTGGATCAGAGATGCTTGCAAAGTGAAGCGAATCGGAGACGAAGATTTATGGAGAAGCCGCACCGTCAAGTCGAAGAGGAAGGAGATCGTTTTCTCATAGAAGATAAAGAGACATAACATCTTGAAACCTTTTTTTCCCATCATTTCAATTTCTTTGTCTTTATTTTTCTTACTTAATAATAATTCTAGTGATAATAATAGTATGTTGAATGTTTGTGTGGGCCGAATCACATCCATAGGCCAGTCAATTTATTTTTCAGCATAAAACCATTGATACAAAAAAAGAAGCTTCTGGACCCTACTGGATGGGCCTATGCGCCAGATTCCAGACCATACTCCCTAGACTCAAACTTCACACCCCTGGATTATTGGCTTACACCCCTCTGACTCTTTTCTAATTTCTTTTTTTTTCTTTTTCTTTCTTTTCTTTTAGTTTAAATTTCTTCCAATTTTATTAATAAAAGTAGTAAAAATACATATAATAAAAATAAATAAATAAAATTTAGGACTTTTTTTATAATAAAAAACTACAAAAATCAATAAAACTTTTTTAGGCTTTTTATTTGATTTTAGGAAATTAGTTCATAATCTTTCGATTACTTGAAAATTGCGATTCACCTTTGTTTGTTAAGCTGAGTCTTATGCAGGTTCATTATTTGATATGTGGATGTGTTTTGGATTCCGATTGTGATTTATTTTCACATCGACGAAGTTGCGACACTTATTCCAAATATTCGAACTATGACGGTTTGTTTGCTGATGCCAGCTCACGCGAAGTATCTCGAATTTCTTTACTTTGGTTACACTTTTTGCGGACGTCATTGTTCGTTTGTATGGGAAATGCTTGGAGATTAATTTTTTATCACTCATGCGGAGCAACTTCTGTAGAGTTTTCTTATCACTTACATGGCTTCGAAGAGGCAACGGACCTTCTCCGTTCGGTATCGTCACAACCCTATTTTTTTCTTCATTTCCATACTTTATCGCAATCCATATGCATGATAACATTAGGTAGAATCCCTCAAATTATAACTTTAGGTCGTACAATGCACAATAACATTAGGTTTAGAAATAGGCTAGTCTCTCTTTGACTTTCTTTCCCCCTTTGCACATGCATTTAAAACAAAAATTTCTTTTTTTTTACAAACTTCAAAACACTAAAAATTTACTGACGAGAATCATATCTTCGTTAAGTATGTGAGACGATAAGCGGGTCCCTTCTCGACCTTATTGTTCTCTTATTCTAAGCTTTGGTATGGTTCAAGTCTCAAAGACTCATTTCATGAATAAGTAGAGAAATGGCTAAAATCTCTCTCTTGAGGTCAACTAGCTGTTACCTACAAGAAAAAACACCGACAAATACAAACTCTTTTTGCCTCTGGGCCTTCCTTTCAAACCTTTTTCAAAAGAACATGTTAATCCACTTCTGTGCTGATGCGTAAGTCTCCAAAGGTCGAGTTGCGGCAGAAGGCGAAATTAATATCATTCATCACAAAAACAAACAAGTTCAAACCTTTTTGTGCATCCAGGCACATTTCTTCCCAAACTTTTCTAAAAGAGCATGTTAATTCACTTCTGTGCTGACGCGTAAGTCTCCAACGGTCGAATTGCGGCAGAAGGCGGAATCAATACTGTTCATTAAAAAAAATACAAACAAATAAAAACATGAGCCGAACTACGGCTGCTCTGATTCCTTAAAAGGGATACGTAGGCATCGGGGTAGGGCCCGAACGAGCACAATCTTATTTTCCCTACATTCTTTTGTCTTTTATTTTGCATGCATTCCTTTCAGTGGTATAATAGACAGTAAGTATAGATTGAACACACCCATAAGATAAATAACAAGAGTGGATACCGTAGAGTACTACGGGCGTGTGGGGTGCTAATACCTTCCCCTCGTGTAACAGACTCCCTTACCCTTATCTCTTGGTCATTCGACCTTGATTTCACCCTTCTCAGGTTTACTCGACGTTTACCTTTCCCTTTCTGTGGGATAAAAGACGTTCGATGGAGACTTCATTGTTTGATGATTTTCAGCCGGTTGTTTCAGCTGGTGACTTCACTGGGGAAAGGTCGACCAAATGCTGGTCCATCCCGGAGTCGATCCTAGCTCTTGTTCTCTTTTCTTTGGGTGTTTATTTTTATGCTTTCAGTTTACTCATTTGTACATGTTTATCTGAGCATAAGTTTGCATTGCATTTTATTGCTTTCCCTATTTGTTATCTATTATGCTGGACTCTGTTTTCCATGTTGGGTGGGGATGTCACTATTGAGGTAAAAGGCCCAGTACCCAAGCCAGAGTGCACTAGGACACTAGGAATAGAGTAGGGGCATGACGGCTATAGGACATGGTCCGATTAGTGCAGTCTTGTCATATACCATGCTCGAATGAGGTTCAAATGAATTACTATCGGCACCCACGTCTATGGGTAAGCCCATAGCACTTTCAGGCGGACCCGTGATTTTCGAGTTACCATTGTCTTACCCTGATCTAGTCTTCACCCGTGAGCGGGGAGGGAATTCTTATTACAGGTACAGTTGGTGACTATGTTCAAATGGTTACTCGTGCTCAGATGCTGACTATGTTCAAATGGTTACTCATGCTCAGATGGAGACTGTGATCAGATGGTGATTAGTGGTTCTAATGATCATGTTATGGACTTCTGTCAATGACTTATGCATATGGTGTTCTGTTGGTGACCATATGGTTCTCAGATTTATTTTTTGAGTTCCTGACTTGCTTACTTGGAAGTTCATTCAAGCCTTTGACCTTGGCATTCCCAGCATACTCAGAAATGCTCAAACAGTACCTGATGTTCCCGAAGCCTTGATCTCATGCTACTTAGATCTACATAGTACTCGGCTTTTATATGTGCGGAAGCTATGTCGGACCTTTGATTTGATGATATTCATATGGTTCAGAATGACGCAGCAATCATATTTAGAAATGATGGAACTTTGATCCCATTTGACCTCATGCCTTTGCATATATAACATGGTTAACCGCATACTTAACATACATGTTCTGTGATTTCCAAGGAATCGTATTTGAGAGCCTAATGCCAAACTTTTCCATCTTTTACTTACGTAAAATCAAAATCAAAGCACGTAAATTCCTCGGAAATGATGGAACATGACATGGCATCCGTTCATGCATCCCATGCATATTCATGCGTTCATAACAGGTACTCAAAGATTGGGGATTCTTGCTCAGACCATGTATTTTCTTCAGAGGTTCAACTTGATTTCTTACTGTCACATGTTCAGAGATCAGTTATGGAATAACCCCGGGTATACATGCAAGCTTCGGCCCGTGGCCAAAAATCACTTCAAGCAGGAAGATAATTGATTGAAAACTCGGATGATCCAGGTCATGAAAGCTCTGATGACGATGTCAACAATATTGCACCCACTATCACAGTAAAGGTTCTCTCTCCTCCTCATCTTTTGGGGGAACACTTTCAATCATGGAGTGCTACATCTTATCAGGAGATGGTTCCCATTTACTATGTGATCTTATATTAGTGCTTCGTTCTTTTTGACCAACGTCAGATGTGGTTGCCACACCGGGGCATCAGACTTTTAATCAGGGGCATCCTCCATAACTTTGTGTTCACTAATTTGTTCAATAAGAGCCAGTCTTTATTCCCCCAAGTGAATTCATGGGGAAAGTTTTTAAGCCAAGACACAAGAACCCTGATGAGAATGCTAATGCGAGCCCAATGCATTACATCCTTTATTCCCAGTTCTTCCTAGCTCTGATCTTTGAGGACTTCCTCCCACAAACGTCTCTTCTGATTACGATATGTATGCTGGATGCATCCCCTATTCTGGGGTACCCGATTTTAATATGGAAGATTACAAAGGGGTTATAAAATCCCAACACCTGTTTGGCGTCTCTTCCAAAATCTCTTTTACCAGGTGGATGTCTCTTTTGTTTTGATAGAAGATAGACTATATTAGTTTTTTGTGGCGTAGTATGCCCGATGATGCAGTTTTCACTTGAAGAAGCATTCAATTGTTCTCCTGAAAGAATCTTCTATGCATATTATTCTGGGGCAATTGATCATTCGATTGAAGAGAGTACGTCATCCAGAGACAAGGTCTAAGACGAGATCAATCCAGAGACTGTAGTGTCCAAATCATATCAGAGGGAGAATTTTCTCACTCACCTCATGCATCTTCATGCCTCCATAGAAGGTACTCAGAAGGTACTCGGAAAGGGGAATCCTTATTCGGATTCGGTATTCTCTTTTCAGAATTGCCAATCTTGACTTTTTTCCGCTTCGTGATCAGATTCAATTTATGAAATAACTTTTTGAGGAATTGGATGAGATAAAAAGAATCAAATGGGGCTGTTTATTAGGGACATGCAAGTAATGGCCTGTAGTCAGAAATCCTCAAGGACAAAAGATAGCCAATTGAAGACTCGGTTGAGTCGGGTATGAAAGTTTTGAAGACAGTGTCGGAAAAAGAAAAGTGATAATGTATACGTTATTGCAACAGGAGCTGTCAGTCATCCCCAGCCTATGGGACTTTTTTTTTAATCATGAGATACTTTGTGGGTATCACCCAGAGCTTCGTGTTCTCGAATTTTCTTGCTAGCAGCTAGTTTCTGGTCTCCAAGTGAACCCATGGGGTAAAACTTACCAGTAGAGACAGAGAAAGCTTGAGAAGCAGGTTGATACAATCTCAATGCCTCGTATCCAGTTACTTCCTTGTATGTTGGAAACTCGGTTGATTAAGCTTCGTGCTTTGGGTCATCCTCCAACAAATTTCTCTCCCGATTTCGATATAAATGCTAGATGTGTCTCCCATTCTGGGGCACTTGGTTAGGATATTGAATACTGCAAAGGGTTGAAGCATGAAGTTTGGTACTTGTTTGGCTTCTTTTTCCAATGTTCAGTCCAGGTTTGGAAAACCATTTCAGGCTCTTTCTTTTTTTCCCTCAGTTGGATGCTTCTTATGTGATGGAGTGATGCTTCTATGATGAAGAAGTATAGGATATCGAGTTCTTGGATATTTGCTGTTGTGTAGAAGAAAAATACCTCAAAGGTCGAATGTTGTATTCAGAGTTTAGTTTCTTCTGTGTAGTAGAAGATTCTTTGTTACAGTTTCTG